GTGTTGTACCTGTATTTGCATCTACCACCTCCTCTGACAGTTCATTCCACGTTACAAACACACTGTGTGTGAAGAAGTTGCTGCTCAGGTCCATTTTAAATCTTACTTCTCTCACCTTTAAAATATTCCCCTGCGTTTTGAACTCCCTCACCCTGGGGAAAAGACCTTTGCTATTCACCTTATCTATGCCCCTTGTGATGTCCCAACTTCTATACTCAGTGGTCTGACCAATGAGGGCAAGCGTGCTAAATGCCTTCTTAACCACCATGTTTACCTGCAACGCAGCTTTCAAAGAACTATTTACCTGAACCCCTAGGTCACTCTGTTCAACAACACTCCCCAGGGTCTTGCTTTTGATTGTATAAGTCCTTGTTTGATTTCCCAAAATGCAATACCGCACATTTATCCAAATTAATCTCCATCTGCCACTCCTCAGCCCATCGACATAATGGATCTAGATCCCTATGTAATCTTAGATAACTTCTTCACTGTCCACTGCACCACCAATTTTGGTGTTGTCTGCAAATTTACTATCCATGCCTCCTAAATTCTCATCAAAATCGTTTATACAAATGACAAACAACAGAGGATGGGGATATTTTTGGAGCCTATTTCTCCAGTGAGTTGTTTAATTGTCCACCGCAACTGGATGTGGCAGGACTGCAGATTTTTGATCTGATCTGTTGGTTGTGGGAGTGCTTTAGCTCTCTCTGTCACTTGCTGCTTTCGCTGTTTGGTGTGCAAGTAGTCCTGTTCATTTGCTTCACCAGGTTGACACCTCAATTTTTGTTATGTCTGCACTGCTACTGGCATGCATGCCCTCTGCACTTCTCCACTGAAACTGAGTGACATTCAGTGCCATTCCCTGCATCACCATGTCAGAGTCTGTGCCACAGTGTCATTCTCTGTGTTACTGTGACCTTCTCATTATTGCAGTGTCATTATCAGTCTCACTCTCGGTGTCACAGTATCAAACCCAGTGTCATTTGGTGTCACAGTGTCATTCCCAGGGCCATTCCTGACATCATTCTTAATGTCACAACACCACTTCCTGTGCTGCAGTATCATTATCAACATCCTTCTTGGTGTTGCAATGTATTTCTCGTGTCAATCACAATGTTGCAGTGTCATTCTCAGTGCCACGGAGTCTTTCCCGGTGTCACAGTGCACTCTCAGCAGTGCTGTTTCATTTCCGGTGTTGCATCATTTCTGTCTGTGTCTCAGAGTCATACCCCATGTCATTCAGTGTGTCACAGTGTCATTCTCACTGTCGCTGTGTCATTTTCAGCATTGCAGTTTCACTCTCTGTGTCAGTCTGTTATTCTCTGTGTCGCAGTATTATTCTTGTGTTGCCGTATCTGTCTCAGCGTTATTTCCGGTGTCATCATTTGTCTTGGTGTCAGTCAGCATCCCGGTGTCAGTCAGCATCCCAGTGTCAGTTCTGTGTCATTCCCAGTGTCATTCACTGTGTCTCAGTGTTATTCTCCAAGTTGCACTATTATTCCCTGGGGCATAGTGTCATTCTCGGTGTTGTCGAGTCATTCACTGTTTGGCTGTTTCATTCCCTGTGCTGCTATGTCATTCCACATGTTACAGTATTATTCCCGAGCCACAATGTCATTCTCCCTGCAGTAGGCTCATTCCTCATGTTGCACTGTACTTCCCCAAGTCATTCATGGTGTTGCAGTGTCATTCGTGGTGTCCTGGTGTCATTTTCCTTGTCACAGTGTCATTTTCAGATGAGATTCCCAGAGTCACAATTTCATATTCGGAGATGCAGTGTCATTCTCAATGTTGCTGTATTAGTTTCTGTGGCACAGTGTCATTCTCCATTTCACAGTGTCATTCCTGGGAATGGCAGTGTCTGAGTGTTGCAGTGCCATTCTTTTGTCAGAGTTTCATTTCCAATGTCATTCCTGGCGTTGTGGTAACAGTCATAGTGTCATTCCCAATATCACTGTGTCGGTCTTGACATTTTTTTTTTGCCACAGTGAAATCCTCAGGGTCTGTGTGTGTCGCAGCATTCTCAGTGTCACAGTGTCAATCTGGCGTGACAGTTTCATTCCCAGTATTGCAGTGTCACTCCCCAAAGTTGCAGTGTCATTTTCTATCATGCGTTGTCATTTTTGGTGTCATTCTTGGTATCACAGTGTCAGTCAATCTGTGACTGTGTCATTCCTAGTGTTGGAGAGTCATTCTTGGCTTCAGTGTGTCATTCTCAGTGTTGCAGCGTCATTCCTGGGGTCGTAGTGTCATTCTCGATGTCACAGTGTCAACTTACTTGTCACTGTGTTATTCCCAGTGTTACCGTGTCATTCTCAGTACAGCTCTGTTATCCCTTGGGTGGTAGTGTCATTCTCGGTGTCAATGTGTCATTCTCAGTGTTGCAGTGTCATTGTCATGGTGTCATACCCTGGTATCATTTTTGGTGCCATTCCAGTGTCGCATTGTAATTCCCAGTGTCAATCCTCGAGTCATTCTTGGCGTTCCACTGTTATTTCTGGCAGCATAGTATCTTTCCTTGTGGCAAAATGATATTCCCTGTCTTATTCATGTTGCTACAGTATCATTCCCCGGTGACACCATGTCATTTCTCTAACGCTGTGTCATTCTCAATGTCATTCTTAAGGTCACTGTATCATTTCTGGTATCCTGGTGTGTTTGTCAGTGTGATGTTCACTGTTATGGGTTTGTTAAGTCATTCCCAACGTCAGCCTGTCATTTTCAGTGTTGCACTGTCGGACTTCATAATGCAGTGTCATTCTCAGTGTCGCTGTGGCATTCTCCCTTTCAGAGTGCTGACTTTTCATTTCAGTGGCACACCATCTTATCAGTATCATGGGATAATTACTGCATCGCAGTGTCATTCTCAGTATCATACTCAGTATTGCAGTGTCATTCTCCCTTTCGCAACTTTATTCTCTGTGTCATTCACTAGGTCACAATGTCATGCTCAGAGTCGAAGTGACACTGACCATGTTGAAATGTCACTCTCTGTGTCATTTTCAGTGTTGCAGTGTCATACTCTGTATCGCAATGTCAATTCCCCTATCACAACTTATGCCTGATTCCGGGTGTCACAGAGCCATTTCCCATATCTTGGTGCCATTCCCCGTGTCTCAGTGCCATTCCCCGTATCTTAGCGTCATTCCCCATGTCTCAGTGCCATTCCCCATGTCTCAGTGCCATTCCCCGTATCTCGGCGCCATTCCCCGTATCTCGGCGCCATTCCCCGTATCTCAGTGCCATTCCCCATGTCTTGGTGCCATTCCCCGTATCTCAGCGCCATTCCCCGTATCTCGGCACCATTCCCCGTGTCTCGACGCCATTCCCCGTATCTCGGCACCATTCCCCGTATCTCAGTGCCATTCCCCGTATCTCAGTGCCATTCCCCGTGTCTCAGTGCCATTCCCTGTGTCTTGGTGCCATTCCCCGTATCTCGGCGCCATTCCCCGTATCTCAGTGCCACTCCCCATGTCTCAGTGCCATTCCCGTGTCATGGTGCCATTCCCCGTATCTCAGTGCCATTCTCCATGTTGCAGTGCGATTCTTCATATCATTCTCTCTATGGCAGTGTCATTCCCTGTGTCACAGTCTCATTCTCCCTTTCACAGTGTCATTCTCACTGTCACATCGTTGTTCCTGCTGTTGCAGTGTCATTCCCCTTGTAATTGTACACTTCGCAGTTTTAGTGTCATTCTCTGTGTCACAATGTCTGTTGCTATGTTATTCTCAGTGTCACAGTGTCATTCCTGGTGTCATGATGTGGTTCTCCATGTTGCAGTGTCATTCTCGGTGTCAGTGTCATTTCCCTGTCACAGTGTCATTCTCGGTGTCTCTCTGTCTTGCCTCGGTGTCTGTCTGTGTTTCACAGAGCTGCCTGGCTATGTCCTGTACACAAAAAGCAGGACAAGTCCAACCTGGCCAATTACCGCCCCATCAGTCTCCTCTCGATCATCAGGAAAGTGATGGAACGTGTCAGTAACAGTGCTATCAAGCAGCTGCTGCTCAGAAATAACCTGCTCAGTGACGCCCAGTTTGGGTTCGGTCAGGACCTAGGTGATTGTCTAGTGACATTGTCGCTAGATTATTAATCCAGTGACTCAAGTAATGTTCTAGGGATCTGGGTTCAAATCCCACCATGGAAGATGATGGAATTTGAATTCAATCATAATTTGGAATTAGGAGCCTAATGATAATCATTGCCGATTGTCAGAGAGAACCATCTGGTTCACTAATGTCCTTTAGGGAAGGAAATCTGCCACCCTTACCTGGTTTTACTGACTTGTAACTCCAGCCACAACAATACCTCTTAACTACTCTCTGGGGAATTAAGGATGGGTAATAAAAGCTGGTCTAGCCAGTGACGCCCACATCCATGAATGAGGTCCAGCTCCTGACCTCATTATAGCTATGGTTCAAACATGGACGAAAGAGCTGAAATCCAAAGGTGAGGTGAGAGTGACAGCTCTTGAATTCAATTTGCAAAGCTGCCAGACGTTGCTGATGGTCTGTTCCTCTCCTGCATGTTCTCCCGGTGTCGGGTGCTGCAGTTTCCTCCCACAGTCCAAAGATGTGCACGTTAGATGAATTGGCCATGCGAAATTGTCCAGGAAAGTGCAGGCTGGGTGGGTTAGCCGTAGGAATAGGATGGGGTCTGCGGCTGGTTGGGATACTTTTTGAAGTGTCAGTGCGGACTCGATGGGCCGAATGGCCTCTTTCCACACTGTAGGGATTCTATGATTCCTGCAAGTGTTGACCCTCACTGATCGGAGAGCCCACTGCCCTCCACTCCTGAAGGTGCTGACCGTTCTGCGGTTTCACGGACCCCATTTCTATTCCCAACAGGGAATCCTAACCGGCTTCTCCTGTCTACTCCGAGTGAGATCCGTGGAGTTCAGGGGCACAACCTGGTACTGCATGGAGAATCCCGGAAAGCCAAGATGAGCAGCCATTCCCGACTGTTCCCTCTTCATTTCTCCTTTGTGTTTCTCTTCCAGGGAACAACCCGAGTAAATGCAGCAGCAACAGCTCAGTCAAGAACGAGGTGAAAAAGTCCCGAACAATTCTTCCCTACAGCTCCATGTTCCTCTTTAGCACGACCAATCCGTAAGTCTTGCCGGTTCCTGTTCAGTTCCCAACTCTCCAGAGTTGCTCTGGAGTGTTTCTGAAATTAGAGACACATATTCAGAGTCCTGCCAGAAATACTTGTGTGTTCAGTTTCCTTCTTCGAAAAAATATATCGAAGGATAATTGCCTCGGCAGTTGCAGTAATGTCACTGGATAAGTAATCTAGAAGAATGTTCTAGGGGTATGGCAGCTGCTGGAGTTTAAATTCAATTAATAAAAATCTGGAAGATAAAGCTGGTCTCAATCTTCGTGACCATGGCAACTAACATCAATTGCTTTCCACATCCCATTTGGTTTACCTCATACAGCCATAGAGATCTACAGCGCATAAAAAGGTCTTCTGGCCCCTGAGGACAGAAACAGCCACCTAACTATTTTAATCCTATTTTCCAGCATGAGGCCCATAGCTTTGGCATCACAAGTGCACATCGAAATACTCCTTCAATATTCTGAGGGTTTCTAGTCTCTCCCACACTCACAGACTGTGAGTTCCAGGTATGGGTGAAAACATTTTTCCTTCACACCTCCTCTAAACCTCCTGCTCCTCGATTTAAATCTAAACCCCTGGGTAGCTGATCACTCCATCAATAGGAAAACTTCCTTCATATCTACCATATCTGTGCCCCTCTTACTTTTACACATCTCAATCATGCCCCCCTCCCTCCTCAGTCTCCTCTCTCTAAGGAAAACAACCTCTGCCTTGGAAGCCTACAACCCAATGGTCTCAATGTGGACTTTACAAGCTTCAAAATCTCCCCACCCCCAACCTCAACCCAAGACCAGCGCCCCCACTCATCCTCGCCTCCTTGACCTGTCCATCTTCTCTCCCACCTATCCGCTCCTCCCACCTCACTGACCAATCCCCACCCCCACTTCCTACCTACACTCACCTTTACCGGCTCCATTCCTGCCTCCTTGACCTGTCCGTCTTCTCTCCACCTATCTGCTCCACTATCCACCTTCTATCACTGCGCCTCCCCCCCCGATTTATTTTCAGAGATCCCTTCCCCTCCCCCATTTCTGAAGAAGGGTCCCAACCCGAAACATCAGCTTTCCTGCCCCTCCTGATGCTTCAAAACTGAACTCTCCAGCTCAAGCAGCCTGGTATGTCTCATCCACACCCTCTCCAGTGCAATAACATCCTTCCTATAATATGGATTACAGAACTGCGCACAGTATTCTAGCTGTGACCTAACTAATAATTTGTACAGTTCCAGTATAATCTCCCTGCTCTTAAAATCTATGCCTTGGCTAATAAAGGCAAATATCTCATATGCCTTCATAACCTGTCCTGATACCTTAAGGGACCAGTGTACTGATCCTCAGTGCTTCCCAGGGTCCTACCATCCATCATATATTCCCTTGCCTTGTTTGTCCGGCCCAAGTACATCCCCTCACACTTATCTGGATTGAATACTGTTTGCCACTGATCAGCCCATCTGACTGACCCGTTTATATCCTACTGTAATCTAAGGACCTCCTTCTCATATTTAACACACCACCAATTTTTTGTATTAGCTGTGAACTTATTGATCAACCCTTTTACATTCAAGTCTAAATCATTTAAATAAACCATAAACAGCAAGGACTCCAACACTGACCCCTGTGTGACCCCACTGAACACAAACTTCCAGTCGGAGAAACACCCCTCAACCATCACCCTCTGCTTCGTCACTCTCAGTTAATTGCGGATCCGAGTTGTCAAATTTCCTTGGATCCCATGTGCTCATACCTTTGCTATCAGTCTCCCAAAAGCCTTGCTAAAATCCAAGTAGACAATATCAAAAGCATTGCTCTCATCTACCTCAATCCAGTTGGTCAGACGTGACCTCCCCTTAACAAAACCATGCTGACTGTTCTTGATTAATCCCTGCCTCTCTCCAAATGCAAATTCTTTCTGTCCTTCAGAATTGTGTCCCAGTAGTTTCCCCACGACTGAGGTTGTACTGACTAGCCTGTAGTTTCCTGATTTATCCCTTGCTCCCTTCTTGAATAATGGTACCACATTGGCTATCCTCCAGACCCCTAACACCTCTCCTGTGGCCAGAGAGGAAATAACACTCACCAACCTGGGATACATTTCTCCCAGCCCTGGAAATTTAACTACTCTTAAGCCTGCTGGACCTCTCAGAACCTCCTCTCTGCCTTTGCTAATTGCTTTAATTGTATCAAAGACCTTCTTCCTGATTTCTACGCCCATAATGTCCCTCATTAACACTGGCACAAAGAACTGATTTAGAACTCTACCTACATCCTCTGGCTCCACACACAAATTACTCCTGTGGTCCTGAATGGGCCTCGCCCTTTCCTTCATTATCCTTTCGCCGTTAATATATCCGGGAAACAACTTGGCATTTTCCTTTATTTTACCTGCCAGTATCCTTTCATATCCTCTTTTAGCTCTCCTAATCTCCCTTTTAAGTTCCCACTTGCACATTCTATACTCCTCTAGGGTTCTGCTGCTTTGAGCCCTCAGTATCTGCCATAAACCTCCGTTTTTCTCTTAATCCAATGCTGTATATCCCTTGATATCCAGGGTTTGCAGGATTTGATGGTCCCAACCTATTTCTTTAATTGGAACATGTTAGCCCTGTACTCTCCATGTTTTCATCTTGAATGTATCCCTGTGTTCTAAGACAGATTTACCTGAAAGAATCTGCTCCCAGTTCACTCTGGCCAAATCATATCTGAGCTTATTAAAATCAACCTTACTCCATGTTGAGAACTTTGATTTCAGGCCCAGCCTTCTACTTTTCCATAACAACCTTGAGTCGAATGAAAGTTATGATCACTGTATGCAAAATGCTCCCCCACTGATACTTCAATCACTTGCCCAGCTTCTTTTACTAGAATTAAGTCAAGGACCACCCCCTCTCTTGTAGGGCTGCCTACTTCAGGGAAGGAATTCCGCCATCCTTACCTGGTCTGGCCTACGTGTGACTCCAGACACAGAGGAGTGAGGTTGACTCTTAACTATCCTCCGAAATGGCCAAGCAAGGCTCTCCAATAAAAAGGCAGTTTGGGATGGGTTAAAAGAAATGCATTCCATCCAGCATCATCCCCCTTGCTTCAGTTTTTCCTTGAGATTTGGGGTGAGGGGTCTCCTCCCCAAACGTTAGAGGAATTTATCCAATACTTAATGTCACCTCTAATTTCTATGCATCTCCTTTGGATGTGATAGTCCATGAGAGTGTGCAGGTCCCCCATGTCTCTGTGCTGTTTTGAATTAACAGGGAGCTTGTGCACTGTGAGAAAAGTGTTCCAACTGTTCTGCCTATTCCCCATCCATTCCCCATACTCAGGGGAAAGGCTGTAAGTAGATGTTGACTTGATAATGATCGTGTTTTATTCAACAGACTTATTTGCAGCTCAAATGTTGAATTGCAATATAACATACATTGGGAAAAAGAAGTCACACAATGGACTAACTAATAAAAATATTGCAGTTGTAGACACCTAGACGAATATAACAGGTAACCGGGGAGTCGAGGATGGGATATTGGAAGACTGAATATAGAATTCAAATCACAGTAAAATTATAATCATCATTCCTACACAACAGACTCTGAACAACGTAAGGGTTTCAGTACCTCATGGAGAAAACCATATAAGGATAGTGGCTAAAATGTGTGGATTTCACACTTAATTAGGGAATTCAATGATGATTCATGGAAACATAGAAAATGGGAGCAGGAGGAGGCCATTCAGCCCTTCAAACCTCCTCTACCATTCAAGACGATCATGGCTGACTATCCAACTCAGTCCCCTGTACCCTCTTTCTCCCCATATCCTTTGTTTCCTTTAGCCCTAAGCAATATATCTAACTCCTTCTTGAAACGTTTAAAGTTTTGGCCTCAACATCTCTCTGGGTGAAGGCATTTCTCCTCATCTCAGTCCTAAATGGCCTACCCCACATCCTTAGACTGTGATTCCTGATTCTGAACTCCTCGATCGTAGAGAACATTCTTCCTGCATTTACCCTGTCTAGTCCTGTTAATAAAAGTCTGAAAATGAAAGCTGGTCTCAGTAATCGTGACCAATACAACTAACATCGATTGTTGTTCAAATGCCATCTGGTTCTCTTCAGGGGAAGGAAATCTGCCATCCTTACCTGGTCTGGCCTACATGTGACTCCAGACCCACAGCAATGTGGTTGACTCTTAACTGCCCTCTGGAATGGTTGAGGAAGGCACCTCAGTAATCAGGTTAGAATTTTATCGATTTCTATGAGATTCCACCCCGACCCCTTTATTCTTCACTCTGGTGAATATAGTCCTAACCGATCCAGTCCTTCCTCATACGTCAACTCTGCCATCCCAGGAATCAGTCTGGTAAACTTTCACTGCACTCACTCCATAGCCAGGACATCCTTCCTCACATATGGAGATCAAACTGCACATAGTCCTCCAGGTGTGGTCTCACCAAGGCCCTGTACAATTGCAGTGAGATATCCCTGTTCCTGCATTCAAATCCTTAAACTCACACGATTTAAAGCTGGCTCCGCTTGCTAAGAGACAGTGGCCTATTTAACGGTTGGACTTCAGTTGGCATGTTTCTGTGTGTATAATGGGACCTGACCCATTCACGCTGAAGCTGTGCAATGTGGTGGCCTAGGACCGAAGCAGTTTACTGGATGGCTCCATGACCCAGGAGAGGGTTCACGGCTTCTTGGTCTGTCGAGTCCCTGGTAAAGAATCTCCAATCGAGGAGTGAGATAACAAGGCGTAGAGCTAGATGAACCCAGCAGGCCAAGCAGCATCAAAGGAGCAGGAAGGCTGACGTTTTGGGCCTTATTATCTCAGATTCTCCAGCATCTGCAGTTCCTACTATCTCTCTCCAATAGAGGAGTGATGTCCTTCATCCACAGTGGGGAAGGAAGTCACAGAAGCAGTGAATTTGGGAGGAGATGACCCAGGAGGCGATAACCAGCAGCATTGCCCCAGTACCCGGCTCCAAAGACACAAAAGATTTAGGGACTTGACACTAGTGGTCAAGGTAAGATCACATGAACATATAGAGGAATAATTGCACCACAACCTGAAAGCACTGCATCCACCATTGCAGTAAACACGATTCACCAGCACAACCCTCATCTCAGACACATCTCCCAACTTTTCATCCTTGCCTACGCCTTCAGTGTAAGGTCAGGTGTGATGATTGCACGGCATTCAGTACCACCGTTCGCAAGTCATCGTTCGCACAATGCAGCAAGGTCTGGAAAATTTTAAGACTTGCACTTGTTAAGTGGTCAGTAACATTCACGCCACTCAATAACCATCTCCAACAAGGGAGAATCCAACTGTTGACCCTTGACATTCAATGGTGTTACCACCACTGAATGCCCCACTACCAACATCCTGGGGGTTACCACTGACCAGAACCTCAACTGAAAATACTCTGGCTATAAGAACTAATCAGAGACTGGGAATCCTGCAGTGACTAACACAATTCCTGACCCCAAAGCTTGTACAAAGGCATAAGTCAGGAGTGTGATGGAATATTCCCCACTTCCCTGGAAGAGTACAGGTCCAACAACACTCAAAAAGCTTGACATTATCCAGGACAAAGCAGTCCGCTTGATTAGCACCACATCCACAAGCATCCACTCCTTCCAACATTGACGCTGAGAAGGAGCAATGTATGCCATCCTAAATCTTCCAAACCCATGACTACTTCCATCTAAAAGGACAAGGGCAGCAGACATATAGGAACACCACCACCTCCAAATTCCTTTCCAAGCCACTCAGCATCCTGACTTGGAAATATAACGCCATTCCTTCACCGTTGCTGGGTCAAAATCCTGGAATCCCCACCCACACAGCATTGTAGGTCTACCTACAACACATGGACTGCATCAGTTCAAGAAGATAGCTCCCTACTGTTGTGAGAAATTGCTGGAGAAACTCATCAGGCAGCATGTGTGGGGAGAGAAGCAGAGTTAACATTTCGAGCCCAGTCTGACTTCTTTAGATCTCAAACTGGACTCAAAATGTTGACACTGTTCCTGTCTCCATATTGTACTCATGATTGGTTGGTGATGGTAATGAACTTCAAGTTATTGGTCCCTACGTGAAACAACATGTGCACAACTTTCTTGTAGGAAAGAAGCCGGGAAAATGATCTGAGGGGTCCAACCAACAAGCAGAAAGACACTTATCCCACTTTGAACCAGGACAAAGCATACAAACACATTGGTTCAAGGAAAGCTGCTAAGTCATCCAACCAAGGTCATACGATATTGGAATGAGCAAGTCCTGTGAAAAAATAGATGGAAAATCTGTGCTTTAAACCATCAACATCATACACATTTTTAATGAACTGACACACATCTATAACATACATCTGTAATGACAGCAAAGTGAAGCAAATCATCACAGCTGTACATATAAAGCCTAGATCTGGTACACCACCCCTCCCCCCACAGTGTTATCTGAATGTTTATTTATCCTTTTTGAAATAGAGTTCCCCAATCTCTCAAAAGGGGAGATAAAAGCTGGATTGGAGGGAATTGCATTTTGGATTCCAGTTCACACAGACCTGTACCTTTGAGACATCAGAACATTTAGTGTTGCAATGATGTTCAGTCACTCACTCTGTGTCACGTAGAAGCTACATAGTGCATTCAGTCAGTCAGTCAGTGTGTGTGTAATGCACAGCCATATTAGTGACTCCCAACCCAGACTGTTTGTGTTAACCTTGTAAAGTGATGTTAATAAACTTCCAGACATCTCCCTCAACAAGAACCTGACTCAAGATTTTTGAGAAGATTTGTAGCTTCAGGTTGTCGATGCGGTTGTTGACTTGCTCGCCGAGCTGGTGCATTTGATTGCAGATGTTTTATCACCCTGCTAGGTAACATCATCAGTGCACCTCCGGTAAAGCGTCAGTGTTCTGTCCGGCTTGTTATTTATGTGTCTCGGTTTGTTGGTGTGGGTGGCATCACTTCCAGATTTGTTTCTTAGTGATTGGTTTTTGGGGTCCAACTCTACATGTTTGTTAATGGAGTTCCGGTTTGAGTGCCAGGCCTCCAGGAATTCTTGTGCGTGTCTAAGCTTGGCTTGTCCTAGGATGGCTACATTGTCCCAGGCGAATTGGTATCCTTCTTTGAGACAGGAACATTGTAATCCTACCAGCAGACAAAGGGCACATGACTGTTATACTGAACAGAACACAGCGCAGTGAGAAAGCAAACACTTTACTCGCAGATACCAACACCTACTAACAGATGGCGACAGACCCAACACCACAACTGGAAAACCGCCTTGAGGAATCTACACAAAACGAGTGAAGTTAGCAAACTTGATTACAAGAGAATGGAACCAGGAGGATCAAACACAGCCAGCTTCTATAGACTCCTCAAAGTATAGAAGCCGGAAGACCCCTTAGACCCATAGTCTCACTTCCGGGTGCACTGACATACAGACTAGTGAAAGAACAACAAAAGAGACTGAAACACCTAGTATACGGCTGAAACCACTCGATCCACTCCGCCCAAGAATTCCTGAACATCATCAAGGACACCAGAATAGATGAGGACGAGATCATGGTCTCCTTCGATGTGACTGCACTATTTACCTCCATAAACATTCCCCTGGCTAAGGAAACACTGGCCTCACTACCAGGGATACAGACACCTAACAACACCAACACCATCAGCAAAGATGGCACCCTCAAACTACTGGATCTGTGCCTCACAATCCACTTCATCTTCAATGGCAAGGTATACGGACAAATCATTAGTAAAACCCATGGGATCACCGATGTCAGGATTAATAGTGCAGGCCACAATGCAAAGACTGGAATGGACAGCCCTTCCAACCAAAACTATGGATCCGCCATGTGGATGCCATCTTTGTCATTATCAAACACTCCAAACTGGAGGAAGCCCACCTAACCCCTAAACAACATCCTCACCGGCATAAAATTCACCAGGAAAGAGGAGAACAACAACAGACTTGCCTTCCTAGACGTGATGTCAAACATATGGCCAATGGTGAGCTCCAGATCAGGGTACACAGGAGGGCCACCCATATGGATCAGGTACTCAACTACAATAGCAATCGTCCCAATACCAACAAACGGAGCTGCACCAAAACACTGTTCAAGTGAGCCACGACACTCTGCAGCACCCCGGAGCTGTGCAAAGCTGAGGAAGAATACCTACACAGCGCCTTTGGAAACAACGGCTACCCGAAAAGCATAATCCACCGATGCTTACACAACAGACCACAACAGGAAGCACGACACGTCCAGAGACACTAGTCACCCTTCCATACATTACGGACATGTCTGAAATGACCAGCAGATTACTCCATCCCTAGGAATCATGGTAACTCACAAACCTACAGCTTCACTATGACATCTACTGACAAGAATAAAGGGTCCGACAACCACAACTAACAGAACCAACATTATTTACAAGATACCATGCAAAGACTGCCAAAAACATTACATAGGGCAAACCGGAAGGAAACTAGCCATCAGGATTCATGAACACCAACTAGCTACCAAGAGACATGACCAACTATCACTCATTTCAATACACATGGACAAAGAGGACACAATTCGACTGGGACAACGTAGCTATCATAGGACAAGCCAAGCAAAGACGCGCACGAGATTTCCTGGAGGCCTGACATTCAAACCGGAACCCCATTAAAAAACATGTAGAGCTGCACCCCATATACCAACTGCTAAAACAAATACGGAAGTGATGCCACCCACCCCAGCAAACTGAGACACGTAATTAACACTTGGGACAGAATACCGACACTTCACTGGAAGCGCACTGACAATGTTACCTAGCAGGTAAATGTAACGTCTGCAATCAAACCCACCGGCTCGGTGAGCAAGTCAACAACCGCAAGAACCTGACTCTCTGGGGTATATGTGTTTCTTGAGCTAACATAAAGAAAACCAGAAAGCATGCCACCTTTTCCAAGGTCAACTGGGAATGGGCAATAAATGCTGGCCCAGCCCTTGTGAACAAATCAAAATGAAAATGGGAAGCATGTTGCACACTGAAACAGAGAGGATAGCACAGAGCAGGCTAGAATCAGAGCGCACCATGCTGAGGAGGTGCAGGTCTGTAAGAGTGTGCTTTCTTTGACCTGGGTGTTTGTATCGTCGCAGGGAGAACGGGGGTGGATTGCCTCAGCTTGAGGGCTGTGACCCTTCTAACCTCCTGCCAGACGCTCAGAAGTTCCTGGTGCCATCTCACTGTTGACTCTCACACACATCCACTGAAAGAGTGTACCCTAACTCTTCGAACTTGATGGCGGATTTCCTTCCCTATCGGACATGAGTGAACTGGGTCGGTTTCTTTGATAATCATTGCTCGTATCTATTTAGCCAGTTTACATTCCAGCAGCTGCCATGGTTGCATTGTAGCCGATGTTCTCCATGTATTCGCCTGCGCCTTCAGGTTACTATTCCTTGACATTCCCGCTGTCAGTGGAGATGTATGTTAGCGCAGCCGAGTGGGCTGTTCCTCGGAGACAGAGTGGTTCTTTTTCAACACTGGCCCGATGAGATTCTCTGCCCACCCTTTGAAATCTGGGATGGTGGCATCAGGGTGGGGAGGGGTGGGTGAGGTGTAGGTGTAGGTTGGCAGTCAGACCGTGCTCACTGAGTCCCGAATGCCAGCCTGGCATGCTGTCCCAGCAGGGTCGAGGGCCAGGGCGACTTTGCCAACCTGCAAGGGGAGTCTCTTCCTCCGTGGTAACTGTTCCTCCCTCTCTGTCTCTGACCTGGCAGGCTGCGCAAGGCGTGTCACTTCGTCGTGAACCTGCGGTACTTTGAGATGTGCATCCTGCTGGTGATCGCAGCCAGCAGTATAGCTCTGGCCGCAGAGGACCCCATTCACAAAGACTCCGAAAGGAACCAGGTAAGGCTGGCGCATCTGCCACAGCTGGACGGTGTGCGGGAAGGCTGCCAGGTACTGCCTACACACGGGCACCAGGTCACCACCTCAGGGATTATCCTGGAATTCCTCCAGATATTGAAAACCAGTCTCCAGGGCACTGCAGTCCATTTCTGCAGAATCTCGTATCAGAACAAACCCTGCTGATTCATGCAAACAAAATGAGAGTAGTTGAGACAGTGTCGCACTCATGCATTAATTCTGCCCCTAGGTTAGCTGCAGGATCCCTCTGGCTTTGTGCTCTCAAAGAGTTTCCAGCTTTACAATAATTGCCATTACAGGTGGAGACATCCCCTGTCCAGGTAACCTTTTAAGGGGACCTACAGAGCCATCGGTGTTGAGAGAGAGAGACCAGGAGTTGAGCCACTTCCTTGTTATAGTGTTCGGTCTTGCACTGTTTTACGTGCATTGCTTTATGATTTTGTTTCTTTGTGGGTGTTGCTGGCTGGGCCAGCATTTATTGCCCATCCCTAGTTGCCCCTTGAGGTGGTGGTGGGCTGTCTTCTTGAACTGCTGCAGACTACAAGCTGTAGATGGACCCACAATGTACTCAGGGAGGGAGTTCTAGGATTTTGTCTCTGTGACTCTGTAGGAACAGCATATATTTCCAAGTCAGGATGGTGAACGGCTTGAAGGGGAACTTGCAAGTGGTGATGTTCCCATGTATCTGCTGCCCTTTGTCCTTCTAATTGGAAGTTGTTGTGGGTTTGGAAGGTGCTATCCAAGGATCTTTGGTGAATTTCTGCAGCTTATCTTGTAGATAGTACACGCTGCTGCTACTGAGCGTTGGTGGTGGAGGGAGTGGATGCTTGTGGACGTGGTGCCAATCAAACGGGCTGCTTTGTCCTAGATGGTATTGAGTTTCTTTAGTATTGCTGAAGTAGCACTCTTCCAGGCAAGACTTTGAAATATATCACTGGTCCTTGACTGTCGCTGGGTCAAAATCCTGGCATCCTCTCCCTAACTGCATTGTGGGTCGACCTACACTATTCTAGCCTCGGGGGACTGTCTGTGTGGACTTTGCACGTTCCCTCTGTGTCTGTGTGGTCTTCTGCCGGGTTCACTGGTTTCCTCCCACAGTCCAGACATGTGCAGGTTAGGGTGGATTGGCCATGCTAAAATTGCCCATCGTGCCCAGGGATGTGCAGGCTAGGTGGATCAGCAAATGTAGGGTTACAGGGATAGGGTGGGGGAATAGGTCTGGGGTGGGATGCTCCTCAGAGGGTCAGTGTGGACTTGATGGGCTGAATGGCCTGCTTCCATAGTGTAGGGATCCTATGAATCTATGATACTGCTGCAGTTCAAGAAGGAGCTTGCTACCACCTTCTCCAAGGCACTTAGGGGTGGGTAATAAACGCTGGCCAGCCTGCGACACCCACACCCCGTGAATGAATAAAAGAAAAATTCAATTCCTGCCGTTGATCACCCTGCTGCCACATCTCTTTATGGTAATTCAGTTACACACCTTTACTTCTGCTGACACCTTAAATGTAACTATCTTGCGAATGCTGTATGCATTCAGATAGCGTGCTTTTCATTCTGTCTCTTTGAACACAATTCTGTAATTTGACCCCGGTTGATTTTGGGGCAAATTCTGCTTTCCTTTTCCAACGTTTCTACTTACTATAAATCTCCCAGGAGGATATTAATCCCAGACCTCCTCGGATGTGATTCCCTCCTTTAGACAGGGCCCACCTGTCCCAGAACCTCTCGCAGCATCCCAGCGATCTCAGTCGCTCCCTCCTGCCCCACTTTCCCAGCCATGTGTTTGTTCACTCAGTCTTCCCCTTTCGGTTCTCACCAGTACGTGGCACTGGGAGTGATCCTGAGAATGATGGCCTTCCAGGGCTGGTTTTCAGGCTCTTGCCCAGTTTCCTCAGTTTCCCCTGCAGGGCATCATGCCCCTTTCTACCCATGTCATTGGTGCCAACAGAGACTGTACCTTCTGGTTCTTCACCCTCCCCCAGAAGAATGGCCTGCGGTCACTCTGTGACATCCTGGATTCTGGTACCAGGGCCACCCACCATCCTGGAGTCACATTTACAGTCGCAGAGACACCTGTCTTTTTCCTCTGTCACATGCACTATTGCCCTTTCATTCTCTTCAGTTTCCTCGAACCTGGTCTCCAAACCACCAGTCCTTACCCACCATGGAGCTAAGCCACTCCTGCTATATTCCTATAGTACTTCAATGAAATATCGCCCTCACCAGTATCCAGAATGGAAGTTCAGTTAGTGAGTAAAATGCACTTCGGGGAACCCTTCAGTAAACTCCCTGCTCTTCCTAGATGCCCTGGTGATCAGCCATGTGCCCTCTGCCTGTCTGATCTTATTCTGCCGTGTGAACATGTTACGAGAAGTGCTCTTCATGTCATTCTCAGCTGCTGATAAAATGACTCAGCACCCTGCAGTGCACAGCATCAGAACTGCAGAGGGGTTTAAACTTCTCATGGATGGAGACAGAGACCAAGCCACTGGAGAACGGTGGAGCGAGAACTGGAATGTGCCACAGTGCAAGAGACGGGTGGGACCAGACCTTGCGACAAGGCGAGAGTCAGCAAGAGATCACGGATTTGAGACAACGTCAGGAGACCAGGCAGGATGGTGAGCTTCCTTCCTCCAACTCACTGATGCTGCAGGGAACAGTTCTGGAGGATGAGCAGCAGCAGATGTACCACTTGGCTCTTTGTGCTGAGCAGAAGATGTGGCCAACAAAGCAATGGGCTGGCTGTGTGTCTCCCTTCCTGGTGATCAATGATGTGAAGCACCAGCTTTGACTAGAAGTAATGGCCAGTGATCAAGTGGTCACTAGGCAAGGTGAAATTGTTCACCAGCCTGGTGGCTAGACAAGCTCAGAGAGCCCATGTCTCGACCTTCTAGGAGGATGTGACACCTAATTGCCCAATGTTCGGCTCGCAGTGGCTTTGACCTCTCAGAGTCATGGGCGCAGTTGGGAATGTCCTGCTGTCTACAGCTCAGGAATGGGTCCTGGGGACCCAGTCAGTAACCAAGAGGCAACCTCAACCTGGTGAGCAGTTCACTGCAGAGGAACTGGTCAGGGTCCCGTGTTGTCGGTAAATCACCACAAGCTACCTTTAATTCGGCTACTTGTTAAGAAATCTCACAGACAATCAAAACTGAAATGATGATTTAAACTATTGCATGTAGCAACCAAAATATGACCCCTCAGGTAAGCAAGTTAAGCCTCACAACTCACCTTGGCTCGAACTCTCCTTACTATCGGTACACTCAGACAATGAAGGCCATCAGTTTAACTGGGACAAGGTAACTATAGTAGCCCAAGCCGAACATTGACACGCACGGGAATTCCTAGAGGCATGGTTCTCCACCCGTAATGCAATCAACAAACATATAGAATAGGACCCCATATACAAACCCATACAGAACAGAATCAGAAATGACACGACTCACCATAACGAACTGGACAGTATAAATTCCAAGCGGAGTAGAACAACATCACTTCATCAGAGGCTCCACTGACGATGTTACCTAGCATGGTGACGAAACATCTGAACAAAAACAAGCCAGCTCAGCGAGCAAGTCAACAACCTGGCTAGTACCAATTAATGGTAGAATTTAGCTACGATTCCAACCAACAGCATCTGTCTCTGGAAGTGTCCAGTGTTCGATCCTTATGCAGTGTTGTTCTCTGGAGTTCTACTGGTGTTAGATTCTTATACAGATTTTCAGGTCTATGATATGGTATTATTGGTGACTCTTAAGATTCACTCATCCAAATTATTGCACGTCTGCAGCTTGCCTTCTTCTCAGAAGAAGCTTCCTTGTTCCTTGTTACATTTGGCGTGACTGTTCGTAAACAGCACTTTCCTGCAGTTAAATCCTTAAACTCTCCTGCATGGCCATCAGTTGTCTTTTATTGGTATAAAGCAGCCAGTTATCAAACAGATGTCAAAATAGTTTTGTTCCTGTAACTTAAACTCCATTTTCTCCCAGACACGGCTAATTGCTTTCAGTTCCTCTGTAAGTTTGTCCTTGTCCTTTAATAGTTTATTCCAGACAGAGTTATTGCTGCTTCTTTCTGTGTGTAACAGTTTATCTTTTGTTGATTCATTCACGCCATGAAGAGTTATTAAAGCTCTGAAATTGACTCTGTTACCGACGCCCACCTCACAGCCTCTGGGCCCAAAAATTGAGACTGGGTTCCTGGTCAATGAGACTCTAAGGAGACTCTGGAGCACCAAAGACGTTTATATCATTGACCCCATACAGTTTAACTCCTGGAGAAACTGAGGCAAATGTTTCTGGAGACTGGTTGTAGGTTGGCACACGACCCAAACCTGGGAGAAGGCAGCTTCACGAGATGACAGCGGGGTTTTTCTGAGTTAGTTCGTAAGTTCCTCAAGGGAAAACATATCAGAGCATAAAACAGTACAGCACAGTACAGGCCCTTCAGCCCACAATCTTGTGCCGAACTTTTATCCTAAACCTAAGGTCTATCTAACCTCCACCCCTACCTTATTCTATCATTCAAATGCCTATCTAATAGCCGCTTAAATGCCCCTAATGAGGCTGACTCCACTACCCTCGCTGGCAATGCATTCCACGCCCCTACCACTCTCTGAGTAAAGAACCTACCTCTGATGTCTCTGCTACATCTACCTCCACTCACTTTAAAACTATGCCCCCTTGTAATAGCTACCTCCACCCTAGGAAAAAGTCTCTGGCTGTCCACTCTATCTATACCTCTGATCATTTTGTACACCTCTATCAAGTCACCTTTCATCCTTCGTCGTTCTAAAGAGAAAAGCCCTAGCTCTCTCAACCTTTCCTCGTAAGACCTTCCTTCCATTCCAGGCAACATCCTGGTAAATCTCCTCTGCACCTTTTCCAACACTTCCACATCTTTCCTGTAATGAGGTAACCAGAACTGAACACAATACCCCAGATGTGGCCAAACCAGGGTTTTGTATAGCTGGAGCATAA